AAAGAATTATGGAAACCAATTTGCCAGGCTCTGCCTCAGGACATTGGCTGTTACAAGCCTCCAGTGGGGTTCCACCTATTCATTCTCAATTGCAAAGAAAAGCAGACTGTGAGTGTACAATCCCAGTTTGAGTTTGCTCTGTGTGTGTACACACAGGTTTTGACACTTTCTGGGACATACTGCTTTCAGTGCTTTTGTCCCATAAAGTTTTCCACCAACGGAACTTCTGGTGTCCTTGACTAGAAAAACCTAATGGGAACAGGGAATTGGGAATTAGATCAGAGAAGATGGGGTTTTCTTCCTGCTCTCTTGCAGTGTGACTACTCATTGTACACTGAGAAGAGCAAGGGAGCAGAAACAGAATGAAGGGCTGGGCAGCTGACTGGTTTGCAATGCTGCCTTTTCCCATGTGATTTGAGCTCTGTGCCAATAAATGTTTGGTGTTTTGTTTTGTTTGAGACGGAGACTCACTCTGTCACCCAGGCTGGAGTGCAGTGGCACAATCTCAGCTCACTGCATCATTGTAATCTCCACCCTCCGGGTTCAAGCAATTCTCATGCCTCAGTCTCCCAAGTAGCCAGAATTACAGGCACCTGCTACTATGCCCAACTAAAATTTTTTTTTTTTTGTATTTTTAATAGAGATGGAGTTTCACAATGTTGGCCAGGCTTGTCTCAAACTCCTGACCTCAAGTGCTCTGCCCATCTTGGCCTCCCAAAGTGTGGGGATTACAGGCATGAGCCACTGTGCCTGGCCTTGTGCCAATAAAGTTTCTATGTATAGACCCCCTGTCATAGAGAAAAGCTCTCAGTTCTAGCCAACCGAACCCCAGGAAACGGGAAAATATAATGTAACATTTAAGCAAAAGACACAAAGAAAGAAAGGATTAATTATTTGAGTTTTCATTCATCTTAGCCTTTGCAGAAAGGGGGAAGACACAGTTTGTGAGGGAAGACTTTAGATTAGTCTACATGAGCATCCAAAACTTTTTTTTAGAAAGGGTGCCGCTCTATCACCCAGGCTAGAGTCAGTGGCACAATCACAGCTCACTATAGCCTCAAGCTCCTGGACTCAAGTGATTCTCCCAGCTTACCCTCCCCAGTAGCTGGAACTATAGGCACACATCACCACACCTGGCTAATTTTGTATTTTTTCTTGTAGATACAGGGTTTTGCCATGTTGCCCAGGCTGGTCTCAAATTCCTGGGCTCAAGAGATCTTTGAGCCTCAGCCTTCCAACGTGCTGGGATTACAGGTGTGAGCCATTGTGCCCAGCCAACTTGTTTGTTTTAAAAAGGGGTGGCCGCCTTTCTGGCCACACCCCATTTCCCAGGATGAGGGGCACTCTACATCGAACCCCAGTCCCAGCATGCGGCAGGGCACGCCCCTCGTGGGGCAATTTTTTTTGAGACGGAGTCTTGCTCTGTCACCAGGCTGGAGTGCAGTGGCGCAATCTCAGCTCACTGCAGCCTTGGCCTCCTGGGCTCAAGTGATTCTTCCGCCTCAGCAGAAGCTGAGGCTGGGACCACAGGTGCATGCCACCACGCCCGGCTAATTTTTTTAATATTTTTAGTAGAGATGGGGTTTCACTGTGTTTGCCAGGATGGTCTCCATCTCTTGACCTGGTGATCAGCCCGCCTTGGCCTCCCAAAGTGCTGGGATTACAGGCTTGAGCCACTGCGCCCGGCCAATTTTTTTTTTTTTTTTTTAAATAGAGACAGGTATCACTGTGTTGCCTAGTCTGGTCTTTAATTCTGGGCCTCAAGCGATCCCTCCTGCATTGGCCTCCCAAAGTGTGGGGATTATAGGCGTGAGCCACCATGCCTGGCCTCATCCAAAACTTTTGAAGGAAAATTGGGGTGATAAAAGTAATCTTAGTCTGTGACCTGAAGGTTCTTTTTGTTATTTATTTATTTTTTGAGATAGGTTCTTGCCCTGTTGCTCAGTCTGGAGTACAGTGGCACAGTCTCGGCTCACTGCAGCCTCAACCTCCTGGGCACAAGTGGTCCTCCTACCTCAGCCTCCCAAGTGTCTGGGACCACAGGCGACAGGTACCACCACTGCTCACTAATTATTTTTTTTTTTTTTTGGTAGAGACAGCGTCTTACTTTGTCTTCCATGCTCAGATTCTTTATTAAATGTATTTGTTTATTTATTGAATACTTTTTTTCAGAGTACCTCCTTAGGATCCTGGATTTCTTGTTTTTGTTTTTTGTTTTGTTTTGTTTTGTTTTTTGAGATGGAGTCTTCCTCTTGTCACCCAGGCCGGAGTGCAATGGCACAATCTTGGCTCACTGCAACCTCCACCTCTCAGGTTCAAGCAATTCTCCTACCTCCGCCTCCCGAGTAACTGGGATTACTGGCCCCTGCTACCAAACCCGGCTAATTTTTGAATTTTTAGTAGAAACGGGGTTTCACCATGTTGGCCAGGCTGGTCTTGAACTCCTTACCTTGTGAGCCACCCATCTCGGCCTCCCAAAATGCTGGGATTACTTTCTGAATTGGTACCAGCCAAAGAGGAGTGAATGAGAAAGATCCCTCGTTTTTAAACAAATCACAGTGCTCTGCTGTTCTGTAGGCCTGCACATTGAGAATCCTGTGGCCTCCCACAACTTCCACCAAGGGCGACTTTGTCCATCTGGCCAGTATTTGCTTTGCCATATAGATTGCAGACTCTTTGGTGCCAGGGGCTCTGCCTTGTTCATCTGTGTTTCCTTTGTCTAACACACTGCCTGGCAGGCCGTAGGTGTTGAGAGTGAATGAATGAATGTGCTTGTCAAGAATTCTTTTTTTTTTGAGACAGAGTTTCACTTTTGTTGCCCAGGCTGGAGTGCAATGGCATGATCTCCACTCACTGCAATCTCTGCCTCCCAGGTTTAAGCTATTCTCCTGCCTCAGCCTCCCAAGTAGCTGGGACTACAGGCACGCATCACCACACCTGGCTAATTTTTTTGTATTTAGTGGAGATGGGGTTTCACCATGTAGTCAGGGTGGTATTAAACTCCTGACCTCAGCTGATCAACCCATCTCAACCTCCCAAAGTGCTGGAATTACAGGCATGCACCACCATGCCCGACCATCAAGAATTCTTAGTAACTGTTTGGGTGCAGTTGCAGTTGCTCATACCTATAATCTCAGCACTTTAGGAGGCTGAGGCAGGAAGATCACTTGAACACAAAAGTTCAAGACCAGCCCAGGCAACAACACAGGCAATCCCTTGTCTACAAGAATTTTAAAAATTAACCAGCCATGGTGGCGCAAGCCTATAGTCCCAGCTCCTCAGAAGACTGAGGTGGGAGGATCTCTTGAGCCCAGGAACTCAAGGCTGCAGTGAGCTATGATCACAATACTGCACTCCAGCCTGGGTGATAGAGTGAGACCCTGTCCCAAAAATATAAAAAAGGAAGAAAATAATATAGTAGACTAGAAGATCTCCTAATCCTAATCCCATACAGCTACTGTGGTAAATGTTATGCTTTCTAGACTTATCAATGACAGCTATTTCCTCTTCTTTTTTTCTTTTGGAAACAGTACCAGTGGCTCTGACAGTTCTCTCTCAGATGGTCTTCCTGTTCACCTAGCAAACATAGCAGATGAGGTAAGCTGAACTCTTATATGCAAGAAATAGCAGCCTTAAAAAAATCATGACATGGCTGGGCACGGTGGCTCACTCCTGTAATGCCAGCACTCCAAACCAACACCACGAGGCTGCATACTGAGTTAGCCTGTGTCTCGAGTGTTGTATGAAGAGTGCCACGTGGATGGGCCTAGTTCTGGAATCCTCAGTGACCAGTGTCTACTTTCTGGAATAGCTGAATCAGAAGAAGAAGATGCTCAAGAGGAAAAAAAAGAAGTCACTTCAGACTAGGAAACAGCGAAATGAGCAGTATCAGAGAAAAAATTTGATGCGGAAGTTAAAGTTAACAGAAGATACCGCAGTAAGAAAGCCTTGCTGGCTATTTCTACTTTCTGGTTACAGAGTATTCCATAGAGGGAGAAAGAAAGGGGGTTAAGTTTACTCTAAACCGCCGGGCGCGGTGGCTCAAGCCTGTAATCCCAGCACTTTGGGAGGCCGAGGCGGGTGGATCACGAGGTCAAGAGATCGAGACCATCCTGGCCAACATGGTGAAACCCCGTCTCCACTAAAACTACAAAAAATTAGCTGGGCATGGTGGTGCGTGCCTGTAATCCCAGCTACTCAGGAGGCTGAGGCAGGAGAATTGCCTGAACCCAGGAGGCGGAGGTTGCGGTGAGCCGAGATCGCGCCATTGCACTCCAGCCTGGGTAATAAGAGCGAAACTCCGTCTCAAAAAAAAAAAAAAAAAAAAAAAAAAAAAAAAAAAAAAAAAAAGTTTACTCTAAACCAAAAAGGGGATGGAGGTTGGGGCTGGGGAGACTTTCTGTTTTGGCATCAGAACCCTTCCAAGGACCCTCTGGACGTCTCTGAGCAGGTTTTGGCCTGGCATAGGAGTCTGGGTTTTAGCCAAGTCTGAATTTCCAGAGGAAAGACGAGGTACTGGAATGGTAGTGGCTAGAGCTAGTCTGGAGTAGATGGGTGGCTGGGGGCCAGGCCTGGTCCAGACTAAGACACCTGGATAGCTCATCAATCTTTCTCCAAGCTGCCACACTCACACCATACCCTCTGCTTTCTAAAGACAAAAGTGCTTTCAGAGCTAGAAGTTTTGCTGTTGAATAAATCAATTTTGAATAGATCAATTGAAAAAAAAGATTCTCTTTTCACTCAATCCTTCTAGGAAAGGGCAGGATTTGCTTCTACTCTCAAAAAGCAGCCAAACTTTTTCAAAAACTCAGAGAATTCCAGTTCTTTACCAGTGAAAAATGAAAGCCCGAGGTTAAATGAGGTAGTATTTTTGATTCTTTGTTACACGGATTCTCTAATTTCTGAAATTAGCACCTCTGTCCCACAGAGTGACAAATATAGCCATTTATGTTACCCTAACCTGACAGTGCCCCTGGGAGCAAGAAAACATTAAAATTGGGGAAGACATTGACAATGCTTTGGTTTAGACATGACTGAAGTCTGGAATCAAATATTGGTGATTTATGATTTTACACCAAGGCCATAAGAACAGGCTGACTTACCATCTATTCATCCATCTACCCACCCATCCATTCAATCAGCAAATTTTATTTTAAAATAAATAAATGTATTTTACTGGGTACCTACTGCATGCCAGTCCCTTTCCTGGATGCTAAGAATGCAACCTTGAACAAAATACTATCCCTGCCTCAGGGACTTCAGACTCCAGTGGAGATTTCAACAAGTAATTAGGAAATTATATCACAGAGTAGGATGCAGTGACAACACAGCGAAGAGATGCTCAACCACTGTTTAATACTTTATAGTTTTATGGCTGTAAAATCCTTGATTTTTTTTTTTTTTTTTTTTTTGAGACAGAGTCTTGCTCTGTTACCCAGGCTGGAGTGCAGTGGCACAATCTTGGCTTACTGCAGCTTCCCCCTCCTGGGTTCAAGTGATTCTCGTGCCTCAGTTTCTGGAGTAGCTGAGGTTACAGTTACCCATCACCACGCTTGGCTAATTTTTGTATTTTTAGCAGAGACAGGGTTTCACCATGTTGCCCAGGCTGCTGGTCTCAAACTCCTAAATTCAAGTAATAGGCCCACCTCGGCTTCCCAAAGTACTGAGATTATAGGCATGAGCTACCATTCCTGGCCAAAATCCTTGATTTTTTTTTTTTTTTTTTGAGACGGAGTTTCGCTCTTGTTACCCAGGCTGGAGTGCAATGGCGAGATCTCGGCTCACCGCAACCTCCGCCTCCTGGGTTCAGGCAATTCTCCTGCCTCAGCCTCCTGAGTAGCTGGGATTACAGGCACGCGCCACCATGCCCAGCTAATGTTTTCTATTTTTTAGTAGAGACGGGGTTTCACCATGTTGACCAGGATGGTCTCCATCTCTTGACCTCGTGATCCACCCGCCTCGGCCTCCCAAAGTTCTGGGATTACAGGCTTGAGCCACCGCGCCCGGAAATCCTTGATTTTTTAATGTAAAAAAAATAGCTTGGCCGGGGATGGTGGCTGATGCCTATAAACCTAACACTTTGTGTGTTTTCTTATTTGTTTGTTTCTTTTTTTTTTGAGACAGAGTCTTACCTTGCCACCCAGGCTAGAGTGCAGTGGTGCTATCTCATCAGCTCACTACAGCCTCCACCTCCCGGGTTCAAGTGATTCTTCCGCCTCAGCCTCCTGAGTAGCTGGGATTACAGACACCCGCCACCACACCTGGCTAATTTTTGTATTTTTAGTATGGATGGAGTTTCACCATGTTGGCCAGGCTGGTTTCGAACTCCTGACCTCAGGTGATCTGCCCACCGCAGCCTCTCAAAGTGCTGGGATTGCAGGTGTTAGCCACCACGCCTGGCCAAACCCAATACTTTAGAAGGCCGAGGCAGGAGGATCGTTTGACCCCAGGAGTTCAAGGCCACCCTGTACAACGTAGTGAGCTCTCATCTCTACAAACAATAAAAATTAGCTAGGCATGGTGGTGCATGCCTGTAGTCCCACCTACTTGGGACACTGAGGTGAGCAGATCACATAAGCCCAGAGTTGGAGACTGCAGTGAGCCATGATCATACCACGGTACTCCAGCTTGGATGGCCAGGCATGGTGGCTCAAACCTGTAATCCCAGCACTTTGGGAGGCTGAGGCAGGAGGATCACTTGAGTCCAGGAGTTCGAGACCAGCCCTGGCAATAAAGCAAGACCCCCATCTCCACATAAATGTTTCTTAAAAATTAGCAAGGCATGGCTGGGTACAGTGGCTCACACATGTAATCTCAGCACTTTGGGAGGACAAAGCAGGCAGATCACATGAGGCCAGGAGTTCAAGACCAGCCTGACTAACATGGTAAAACCCCATCTCTACTAAAAATACAAAAATTAGCTGGGTGTGGTGTTGCATGCCTGTAGTCCCAGCTACTGAGGAAGCTGAGTCACAAGAATTGCTTGAACCCAAGAGGCAGAGGTTGCAGTGAGCTGAGATTGCGCCATTGTACTCCAGCCTGGGCAATAGAGCGAGACTGTATCTCGAAAAAAAATTTTTTTTCTTTATATCATGAGTTTTAAAAAGTAATAAAAATAAAGCATAAAAAAAAAAGAAAATTAGCTAGACATGGTGCTGCATGCTTATAATCCTAGCTACTTGAGAGGCTGAGGTAGGAGGATCTCTTGAGCCTAAGAAGTCAAGGCTGCAGTGATCTGTGATGCTACCACTGCACCCCAGCCTGGGAACAGAGCAAGACCCCATCTCAAAAAAAAAAAAAAAAGGTGTTCAAGGTCAGATACTATAGCTCACACCTGTAATCCCAGCACTTTGGGAGGCTGAGGTGGGAGGATCACATGAGGACAGGAGGTCAAGACCAGCCTAAGCAACATAGTAAGATCCTATCTCTACAAAAATTTTTAAAACTTAGCTGCATGTGGTAGCCTACCCCTGTAGCCTTAGCTACTTGGGAGGCTGAGGTGGGAGAATCATATGAGTCCAAGAGGTGGAGGTTGCAGTGAGCCAAGATTGCACCATTGCACTTTAGCTTAGGTAACATGAGTGAAACTCCATCTCAAAAACAAAAACAAAAAAAACAGGGCCAGATGCAGTGGCTCATGCCTATAATTCCAGCACTTTGGGAGGCCGAGGCGAGCAGATAGCTTGAGGTCAGGAGTTTGAGACCAGCCTGGCTAACACAGTGAAACCCGTCTCTACTAAAAATACAAAAATTAGCTGGGCACGGTAGCACATGCCTGTAATCCCAGCTACTCTGGAGGCTGAGGCAGGAGAATTGCTTGAGCCTGGAGACGGAGATTGCAGTGAGCCAAGATTATGCCACTACACTCCAGCCTGGCCGACAGAGCGAGACTGTCTCAAAAAAACAAACAACAAAAAACAGTACTATAGTGAGATCTCACCATGCGATACTGGGGAATCCCCACAGAGCACAGCTGGTGGCAAAAGCACAAATTTTGAAGACTGTCTTGAGTTCAAATGTGAGCTCCACTGTTTAATATTCTGTGCATGATCTGACCACCCTGGGACTAAGTTTCTGCATCTGAAATACTGAGGTGGTAATATCTGTATTCTATGGTTGTTGAAAGAATCAGTGTGTGAAAGTGTAAAGCACCTGGCATATGGTAGGCACTCAGTAAATTAGTCATTTTTTTCTCCGAATTGTTACTTCTTTAAATTATGTTTTGCCTGTCCTCTTGTGTGAGAATATCATAATGAATCAATATATATAAATAAGAAGCAAACAGGCCGGGCGTGGTGGCTCAAGCCTGTAATCCCAGCACTGTGGGAGGCCGAGGCGGGTGGATCACGAGGTCAAGAGATCGAGACCATCCTGGTCAACATGGTGAAACCCCGTCTCTA